AATATATAATCACCAACCATTGAGTAAAAGAGAAGGTATTATGGAACCATGAGCTTCTGCAATATTCAAAAGTCTATACCAGAATCTGTTGTTCCAATAACGTCTCAATACAAAACACTGTTACAGAACTGGTGGATATTATAATTTCCAGTAAAGGCTAGCAACTTTCTACAAAAACTCCAGTATAAGACTCGAGAGGCCTTTCACGTGTCAGTTGAAGAGTACTGTACAAATTGGCTATATGTTGCTTGAGATATACTATAATCAAATATATCTACCGTAGAATATACTTTCTAGTGATGACTGAGGGGCAAAAATCATATACGACGTTTTTTCTTCTCAGGTGTTGCATGAACCTGTGCTTTTATTCCATAAGTCTTCAATTGGAAATTTTCAAATGCATCAGAAATAGTTCCCACCTGAAGATTTGAGTAGAATAAATGGAACGGAGATCAGACTTAACAGAGCAGAAGTGAAAATAAATGCAAAGGCTTATCTGAACAGACCAGGTGGGGCTTTTTGGAGTACACTCTCACAATCATATCTTGATATGATGTTGGCAGCAAGTGGCTGATACGATCATCAGGTATAGAGAATTTCTCGTCACTTTCATAATCCTGAATTTCAATCAAAATCATTAACAGTGAGGGCAGGAAATCTTGAATTCTTGATACTCAAACTTATAGAAGCCATAGTCTGTACCTTGAAAAAATGGATACTGGCAGATGCAACATGTCCAACCAGAGCATATAAAGAAAAACAAACAAAACAAAACAAATTGAGAGGCTCAGAGTCGTAATGAAAGTGGGACAGAGAGAAATCCTGTGCAAGAACTGTAATCGGTTGATCCATTTTGACAAACCTTTCAAGAGGATTATGCCTCCCACGAGTCAGATCTATCCTGACATTGCTAACAGCAACATCCTCTTCTTTAAGTCTCTCGCAGCCACCTTTCTGTAAGATAAAGACTATTACGGCAGAATGACTAAAATCTCTCAAAAACACTACAAACTACCATATATTAGCTACCTGTGAACAGACGATATCATGTGCAGTGACATCCTTGAAATGCTCTATTTTGTCTCTGGGGACAGCATACTCATTACAGAACTGCCATGTGCAAAAAAAGAATTGACTTTAAACTTCAAATGTTACATAATACTCATATAACGTGCTTAAGCAACAGCCATCAATGTAGATAACCTCAATACCTGGTACAAATCTCTCCTTCGAACGCGAAGGATCAAATCCCTAGATTCCTTCAGTTCTGGGTCTGGAGCAGTCTCAATGGTTTTCAAGATGGTGTCATCTAACTACTTCCACATACATAAAGAAATTAAGTTCATGGTTCCATGAATTGAGGAGTTTTAAGCTTGCAGAAAAGGGCCAGGCCAACCTTCCAATATTGAGAAGGATGCTCTATGTGAGATGCTATCTGTAGATAATCATTTGCCTTCACTAGTGCATCTACAACCATAAGCTCTATTGCCTGTACAATGATGGAACATCAAATTGAAAGCCTTCACATGCAAGTATATATGACATACAAAAAGATAACCTCCAAATTTCACATATGCTAGTGGGAGAATCAGAGGACAACTTTGTCAAATTTGCTGTGTACCTTCACTTTAGCATGAGTATAAACAGTTCTGTGTAGATCAGCTCGTGTGGCAAATAACTTGTGGATTGTCAAGTCTGAGGATTTATCCAGACAAATAGTAAGACCACAAGTCAAACGAGTAAACTAATAAAATCCTGCTAAGACATAAGTACTAACAATCTTTCGCTCTATAGCATATCTCATCTCCCAAAACTCTCATTGTCTCCATTAACCTGCAGAAGATGAAGACAGTTACATGGTAAAGAATTATTTTTCCTTTCTCAGACATCCATCAACAGATGCCACGTAAAAATAGCCAAGAAGATGAAAGAATAGACCTCTGGAACTGAAAATTGCATCCTAGACCACACGCTCGGCTATCTCGGACAATGTAATCAAACCTGCAAGCAAATGAAAGCCCTTACCATGCGATGATAGTTCATTCAGTAAAAACTGGAAAAAGGTTTGGGGAGAAAAGAACGAATGATCATGGTTGAGAAAACCAACTTGTCAACATCGATTCCATTTCGACCATTTGCCACAATATCATATAAAAACTGCTTCTCCCTTGAGCTCTACGTACCAATCAATCAAATTGAAACAATGCACAAGTTCAAGATTGGAATATGATGTGCCAAGATGAGCATAAAATGCTAATCTCAGAATAAAGTGTAAATGCATGTTTAATAAGACAGTCAAATTTTAAGGTTCCATTTTTTCTCCTGGTAAATTTGTGTGCTGGGAAGCGAAAGACTTACTTTTGTCAATGCAAACTTGGAACTAGCAAGTATCATTTCCTGTAAATGAATATAGATGTCAATAGGCCACATTTAAAACTCTCCCTGCTTACAACGTAAACAAGTCTAATGATCACTTGTGGCATGTAAGATCAATTGGCTTGTAGCTGCATGAAAAAATTTAGCTCATACGAAATAACTTCATTATCTCAACCAATGTAGTCGTGACATGGTAGTAGAACTCCTTTACTAAGATCTGACATCACTGAAAAGCATTGTAAATCAACAGAATACTTTAGTGCTAACAAGAAGTTATGTCTTGCAAGTTTTAGTGCCAAAAAACGAACTCTCTTTAAGAAAATAGCTCAAATCATCAAAACATCTACCACACTTGGATAGCACATCAAATTCATTTTGCTTTTGGAGACAATACAAGTTTCCACAAATACTATATATAATAAGCAAACTAACATTCTCATTGCACATGATGTCAGATGTACCTTGTCAACCATGTAGCATAAACATGTGAAAGAGATCAAAAGACTATCACTAAGTCTTATGCATAAGTTTGAATTTGATAAACACCATATTCTTTAAGCCTGTAAGATAGGTTTTGGGCATGGTTGTCATGAAACCTAAGGTAGCACAGTTGTAATCGAAACAATTCATCTTACCTTGACTTTTTTAATGGTTTCTGAATCAATATCAATATGACGCTCATCAACGATGTGATCAATCACATCCACTGACATTTGCTCATGAGACCTAAAGTACAACATAAGACAAGATGGTCACTGATATGCACCACCCCATGTAATGAGATCGCCTTAATGTGAGTGCAAGAAGCTTCAAAGAAACTAGAACAGCAAAAAAATAGTTAACTAGGAAGAGATTTTCTCAAAAAACGACATTACAAGCAGCAGGCAAGAGCAGACACGAAGAGTCGGAAATCACTAAATAAAATCACCATATTCCAACGTTCTTCACCTTGCTAACTTACAACTTTAGTATTTCCACAACATAATGTATTCTATAAGCATAATCTTTATTTCCTGCACTAAAGTGGTAAAACATTCCAACTAGCTCGAGATTGAGCCATATTGACTGATTGAAGCTAAAAAGGCAAAACTAGGGCTTGACCAAGGAATTGCATCCAAGAAGGCAATATGAAAGCATTCCTGCTCTAGAAAAGCAAAAAACCATTTATATCTAAGAAGCTTCAAATAAGATTGAGTATGTTGCAGAAATTGCAAGAGATATCTTCTGTCAAAAATTCAACTATTATTAGCCAAGACAAATTGAATAGCATGAGAATATGACATATATCTTTGAGAGGTACTTAAATAACAGAACGCATTCCACAGAAAAGTATTACCAGTCCGATCCATTGCGAACTTTAGGAAGAAACTCGCGTTCAAACAAGTGACTAAAAGGTCCATGGCCAATATCATGCAGAAGACCTAAGAAATTCAACCACAATGGAAGGGGAACATCATTTATTATGCAGTAGGCAAGAGTAATCCATGCACGAGGTATTCTATATTACTTACCTGCAAGTTTCACAGTCTGTATATCAAAGTGATCAATTCCAAGCTCCATACCCTATAAAGGAATAATAGGATTACATGAGAACCCTCGGGCAGTATCAAGTTGAACCAAACTAAATAGTACACACAAAACCATACTTGGTGGGTTTTAAGCTTATTGATAGCTTCGTTGGCAATCCAATACACTCCAAGGGAATGCTCAAACCTAGAATGCACCGCTCCTGGATAGACCATGTGTGCCACACCTGAAAGTGCATCCAAGAGCTCATGTTAGTAACAAATTCAAGCCACTACCAGGCTGCTAACTCCTGTAATTAAAAGGTTTCCACCAACATTGAGCATAACGGCAAGAGCCAATGGCTGCATCAAGTAGTGAGAGTAAGATAGATGATCGAAATTTGTCCAACAGATAACAAGGATATTATTTTAATAGAAGGTAAAATTTATCCATTAAGTGATAGGAGAACATATTGTCTTTTTGCAACTTGCTTTCGATAGGCTTAAAACCCTTGGGCTTGCCTCTGCCTTTGCAGGAGGCTCATAAGGGAGATATGCATGCATGGTTTTAAAAGCTAATTATGAGTTCTTAAGTCATCATTTACATGATTATGCAGAATTTGCATAACCTAGATAGCATATGTCTTCATAGAACACTAAGAAAGAAGAGATCTTGCATGTTCCTTACGAGGATCCCACGACATTCTGAATTGCAATCACAAATGAGATACCACTAAAGCTGAAACAGACAATTTTCATCTACCAAGTGTGCAATAAATATATTATTCAGTGCATCAAGTGTCACTGATATTCACAAAGTGAAGCTGAAAGTGGCAGAAAATTTCAGTACAGACAAGAACCAAAGATAGTTATAAAATTTATCATAGTTCTGCTAACCGAAATCACTTACATTTTAGACTAATACATAATACAGGCTACTTATGTCTTTCATGGCACCCCATATTTTACTAATAATTTTGCAATAGTGAAAGAACTAAAATTTGGGATGCCAAGCATTTCAGGAGACATGTAGATAATAGATGAAAAACTTCTTCAAATCACACTAGAAATCCCCTATTTAATCACAATGTTAAATAATTGATGTTCTAACTTAAACAAAGCTTGTGGCCATATATAAAAATGGGGAACATTATGGTGAATGATCTCTTCCAAGGATTACCTACTCAGGCATTTCAATTTCATAAGGAAAAAAAATAGGGGACAAAGGCTAATAACTTACCTAGTTGTTTAAGATCACGAAGCCTGGAAAACAAAAGAAAAACGGTTCAATAACAAATGTCAAAACGACAAAAATAAAATAAAAGATGACCATCAGGTCACAGAGCAGATTGCAGCCAATATGAATACAAATACTCAAGACAAAGTGCATAAATTTACAATCTGCATGCCATAAACTCAAACCAACAACAACAACAACAACAACAACAATAACTACTACGTCTCAATTCCAAACTACTTAGGTCAATTATATGAATCTTCCATATCCATGCCACACAACACTCAATTTTCTTAAGACAAATTCGGAGTTCTCTAACAAATAGAGGATAATGAAAATACAAGTACAACATAAAGAGACTTGCCTCTGAAATTGCTCTGTGTCAATGAACTTCAGGAAGAGCTGCAATTCAAGAAAGATTAAACTTCCAGTACTTGGCACAAAGCTCACAGCAAAAAGTTAAGAACGTGTATGAGAAAAGTGAATGAATGAATTAAGAGTTTAGATCTGGAATCAGGATCAGAAAACTGTACTCATCACACCCTAGTATCTCTCTTGGCTAGTGAACACACTAAAATAAATGCTGGCATAAAACTTCTTCTTGATATATTGGATAAAATACTTAGACTCAAAGCTGAAGAACTGCATCACAGGTTAACCAAGGACAAGTAAAAACAATTTGTTTTAATCCATTCAATTCAAGCAAATTGAAACATGCGGAACAAATGTATGAATTTTGACCTCAATATTCTCGAATAGATCATAAATGAAGAAAAAATCATCTCATCTTATTAATTATTATGGTCATTTATTCATGAAATGAAACGAAATTTAGCCATACGCGTTCCTAATGACTTTCCTATTTTTACAGGCTTTTCAAAAAAAAAATATGGACAACAAAAATTAAAAATTGCAACTCAAAATAGTTCTCTATTCATTTATTCAGTAGACAGTCAACAATTTCTCTTAAATACGAGTAAAATTTTGTTAATAACTTACCATAGAAAAATTGTGGATAACAAAAATAAAAATGAATTGCAACTAAAATTAGTTCTGAATGATAATTTATTCCATTGACAGTTATCAATTTTCTAAATTATGAGTATAATTTTGGCGATGACTTATCATAGATAAATTGTGGATAACAAAAAATTACGCACTGCAAGTCAAAATAGTTCTGATTCCATTAACAGTTATCAATTTTCACTAATATACTAGTACAGGTTTGGCAATGACCTACCGCAGAAAACTACAGCATAACATTTGAAAATTTGAAATAGCTCTATTTAGCACTCAAAAAAAAATAGGTCTAAATTGAAATAGCGCGTGAATAATCATGTACGGAGATATACCGGGTCAATATAGATGTTGCCGTGGACGTTGTCATGGATTTGCTTAGAGAATCTAAGATCTTGAGACGAAGCGAAGTTGTAATTGGAAGAGAAACTCAGGTCTTCATTACAAAAAGCTCCCATACTCACTGTTCGCTCTCTACTAAACCACTCTACACAGCAAAAAAAAACACAGAGCAAAATCAGTAACCTAGCATTCGAAATTTAAAGGGCACAGTAGAGTAATTACGAAACCGTTACATACCGTTTGAATTGCTTCAAAGAGAGATTACATACCCTTTGAGTTGCTTCAACGAGAGAGAGAGAGAGAGAGAGAGAGCAGCTGTCGCAGAGTAATTGATTTGCACGAATATGGGAAAAGGGAATGTGGTGTGTTGAGTAGTGATGAAGTAGTGCCGCCAAAAGGGCCTTTATTTTTATTTTATTTTATTGCTATTGCTGCTACAGCAAGCGACACAGGCAATTTGGGGCCAGAGAGGCAATGCGCCAGTGAGTATCCGGTTTCGTGGTCATAATTGCGTGATTTGTGGACGCATAATTGTATCAAAACTTGAAGCACTGACCAATAACTTTAGCGATCTTTGGATTATTGGTACACATCGTTTTATAATATATTATATTATATTATATCATTTTATGAATATAACATTCGAATAGATTGTATCATTTATCGTTGTTAAATAATATTTTTGTTGTTAGTTTGACGGTATCGTACAATACAATAACTGATAAGTCTACTAAAATACCCGTAATTATTTTAAATAAAATTTATCAAGAATTACACATAAAAAATATTTAAGAAAACCTCTTTTTACTAATTTATCATTAATTACGTAGCTTGGAAACAAGAGCAAAAAACTAGAAAAAAAAAAGGTTAACTAATATTAGCAACACCAAAAAAAAAATTAAAACGATAAAAAGAGACAGAATCGAACGGAGACTTGGATAATAAAAAGAAATGGGCAAACCAACTCTAGAAAAGATGAAAGAAGACAAAGTAGGTCAATAGGTTGGAGATTTGGAGTTAAAATAAAATAAAAATTAAATGATAAAATAGAATTATGGAGTAATAAGTAAGGGCATAATTAGAAAATAAAATAGGAAACGATCCCACCACACCAAATCGGTTGTTTCATAAAATGAGGCTTTTGGTTGTCTGGAACAATGGATTTAATAATACGATACAATCAATTTTAAATAAACAATCAAAACAAACATTGTTTTGGGATAATAATACAATACAATAGAATGAGTAACAATCATCCAAACAAGGTGTTAAATTATACCATAGTAGCAAATGGTATCATTTTTATATTTAAATTTTATTTAGTTTGGTTTACATACGTATATTTAATACTAAAAAATCGATCAAACAATATAGGTAACACTACTTGGAGCAAAGTAGATAGCCCCTGATTAGGTAGAACTAGTGATGAGAAAAAACCTAATGCTTTAAAGAATATAAGATGGGTTTAGATATTTTGTCAGTCTAACAGATTTTATTTTTCATCTAACAAGCAAGTTAGCAATTTTTTGAGAATGAAATGAACGTCTTTCTATCTCTCGTTTTGAACTTGTAACGCGTGAAAAGGAATTGGGACATGCTCAACATTTATTCTTTCTAATAAAGAATCTCATTTAATTCGTTTTAATTTTTGAGCTAAGAGACTACTCTGTCTCCCTCAATCAAATAACATGTGTTTGGAAAAAGAATCCAATTCATGTTTGATTAAATAAAATTTATACTTTTCATTAAGTTTACTTATACAATAAAGAAAATTATATTTAAATGATAAAGTTAATAAAGAAAAAATCATATTCAACTATTCAAATAAAAATACATTATTAAATTTGCAAAAATGACATAAGAATATTACTATTACGAAATGACAAAAGATAATGAAGCCTCAGAGTCAGATTCCCAAAAGATAAATGGGAAGGCCAATATCAAAACAAAGATTGAACGTCCACCTCCACCACATGTAACACACCAGAGAAATGGTGGTTGTTTCCTCTCTTCAAACGAACCTCGATTTTTCTTCGAGTTCCTCCCTCTTCTTCAAACCCATCTCTCCTTCTCTTCTTTACTTTCGACGCTTCTATAGATTTCCCTGCTCAAGGAATAATAAAGCAGCTTACAACTCCTCCAATGGCAGCGCCGTCTTGGTCGTCAAGGCTTATATGGACGAGACAACAAATCCTGTTTCCAGTTTCGTTAATAAGGTCGTTGGTTCACTCCCTGTTGTTGGTCTCATAGCCAGAATTGTGAATGAGGAAGGCGGTGTTGGTGGCGATATCATTGATTTTGCTGAGTTCAGGAGACGGGTCGGTAACAAGTGTTCTATTACTGATTCCAGAGCTTTTTATGAATTTCGAGATCGACGTGGCAAGGTAATTTATTTTATACTTGCAATCAAGTGCCTTCGCTTACCTATCAATTATTAGCATTTCTTGTTACTAATTGAATTCGGCCTGCAACTTATATTACTTTTTGTATTGAACATCTAAATTTTGATCTTTAACAAGAACTAATCTAATTTGATATAGCAACTGAAAAAATTCAAATTGACTCATAGGAGAAGTGCACAAATTAAGACAGAGATAGTACTTTTTATAGAATTCAGGTCCTAGTTTACTTCTAATTTAAACTTCTTATTTCTCCTTTAGTGACATATTCTTATAGTCATGGAATTGAATTGTTATGACATATTTAACACCACAAATTTTAAGAGTATTATTGATATGTACCAAATGTTCGGAATAAACAAAAATAATATTCACGGTAATAAAAGCAGAATAATAATGTAACACCGAGATACGGTAATTAACAAGAATAAAAGAGTGATAACGACACCAAAATTTTACGTGGAAAACCCTTTTGAATAAGGGAAAAACCACGGCCCCGAGAGGAGCAACTGATATCATTATAACAAGTAATTTTACACTTTGTAGGTCCGAGTAAAATACTCCAAAGACCACTACAACACTCAAAAGAAATAACCTCTCTTTTGATATTCTCACATCACTACAATATCGCTCGCTCTCTATTTTTCTCTACACAGTCTATTTCTCACAATGCCTGAGAAATATTCTCTGCAACTATTGTGTTGCTTCTCTTTCTGATGTAAAATGAGAAGCAAATAGCTTCCTTTTATAGAAGAAATGGCCTACTTCTTCAACCAATCAGAAAGAAGTATTGGTTGAAAATGTGCATTGCAATTTTTTCCTGACGCCCACCAATTTGGAAACCAAGTCCAATTTGGCAACTTAGACTTTTTCATTATAGGGATGGACCCTACAATCTCCCTCTCCAGACCCATTCACATGAAGGAGGTAACACCGAACTTTTAGCTTGAGTGCATGCCAACAAGTTCTTTGTATAATTCGAACTTGTCTCTTGTCACAGGGGGTTTTATTCCCAACAACTAGTATCAGAGTACAGATTCTGCTCATTCACAAAAATATTATTTACGGTATATTTTACTTTGTGACAAAAACAAATGTAAGGAGTAAAATATGAAGTAACAAGATTCAACGGTAATGACGGTTTCTCCATATGAAAAAGAAGGATGAAGGACCTACTCATCCAACAAGGGTTACACATTGCACTAGATGGTAAAGAGGCAAAGCCGGAAACCATGAAAGCCGAGAGTTGGGAATAAACCCCCTGTACCAAGAGACAAGTTTGAATTGTGCAAAGAACTTGTCGGCATGCACTCAAGCTAAAAATCTGGCGTTACCTCCTTCATGTGAATGAGTCTGAACGGGGAGATTGTAGGGTCCATCCCAACAATGAACAAGTCCAAGTTGCCAAACTTGGTTGCCAAATTGGTGGGCGTCAGAAAAATGTAAATTTTCAACCAATACTTCATTCTGATTGGTTGAGGAAGTAGGCCATTTTTCCTATAAAAGGAAGTTATCTGCTTCTCATTTTACATCACACAGAAAGAGAAGTAACATAATAGTTGCAGAGAGTATTTCTCAGGCATTGTGAGAAATAGACTGTATAGGAAAAATAGAGAGTGTTAGCGATATTGTAGTAAGGTGGGAATTTTAAAAGAAGGTTATTTCTTTTGACTGTATAGTGGTCCCTGGAGTATTTTACTCAGGACTACGGGTGTAAAATTACTTATTATAGTGAATTATTTTGCTCCTCTCGGGCCCGTGGTTTTTTTCTCCTTATTCAGAAGGGTTTTCCACGTTAAAAATTTTTGTGTCCTTGTTCTTTTTTATTCCTGTTAATTACCGTATCTCGGTACTACGTTGTTATTACCGTGAATATTATTTCTGTAGGGGGTTTATTTCCAACACCAAAAGTGTGTTTCTTTATAAAACATTGTGTCTAGTCAAACATTGCCGTATAAAAAGTACAATGAAATTGTTCAAGTCTTTTTCTAGTTTCTAGCCTGTGCAAAAAAATGATGATTATGCATAATATGAAAGGTCTCAAGTGAAAAATTGACCTTGATTTTCTTTGCGTCATTGATAGACAGGGGATCCTCTGTATGTGCTACTATGCTGTTGGTTAGCTGCAGTGGGAGCTGGTTTACTCAAATCTGAGGAGATTTTGGAGGGTGTAGCAAGGCTTAGTTTAGCAAATGATATTGAATTTGAAGAGCAAAACTTCATCGCATTGATGAATGAAGCAAGAGAGGTCAGCAAGATTTCATTTGCCAACGGATTTTTTAGCTTCTTTTCATTTACGTTGCACTATACTTTGACTTTCAACGCTCATCAGTAAAATACTAAAATGTATCGCATAATTCCTCCTTAGGTACTGTCGTCGAAGCGTACTCCAACTTTTTGTTTCTGTTTCCTTCTTTTGATGTGGACTCTGCTTTTATGTTGCTTGAATTCTCCAAAAGTGCTGTCATATTCGTGTTAGATCTTCCAAAACTCCATAACTTTTGGAGGACCCGACACACACCCGACAGTATTATTGGGGATTCAAGCAGCATAACTCTGCCTAACTCTTATTGAGAGGCCTATTAGCAGCAGTGTGCCAAGTAACTTGATATTACAGAGCCTATAGTAACTTTAACATGATACATGTGTTAGCAATTAGATATGATAACCCCCTAGATCGAACAAGATAATAGAACACAAAATACATGTAAATTAGTGAGAAAGTTGGCGCACGTGTAAAGATTAATGTAGGATCAGGTTTTCCTTCCTATATCTCTTCCTCAAGATGGTTGAGTCAATGGAACATTTATCACACTCATTTATCTTTAAAAACGGCATTATATTCAAGGAGACAAAGAGCGTGTTTATATAAAGGTTAGAGAACTAACCTAACGGCTAACAGCAAACAAAAAAATATGACGGGTCCTCCCATTACGAGCTTCAGCAGATTTGAGCCTATAATCACCGATTCGCTAGATCCACCAAGCACATAATGTGCACAGTTCAATAATCATATATCACACTTATGTTTGGGCTCTCGTTAGTGGACTACTGTTATACCGATACACTTAAAACATACTACTATATAAAAAAGCTTAGATAAAGTAAGCCCATGTTTTCTAAGATGTTCCATTACTTTTGCAGAAGCGGGCAAAATTGGGAGCTCCTACCCCTAAAATCCCCATGGAAATTCGAGCTGAGAAAGCTCTGGAAGCTATATATGTATGTTGCTTTGGAAGGGATCTGATTGAAGAAGAAGATGAAAAACTACTTAGTACCATGCTTAGTGCTGTCTTTCCTACAGTCGGGCAGCAAAAGGTAGAAAGCATTGTCAAAGAGAAGGCAAAGAGAGTAGCCGATGGAACTGAAGAAATCAAATATACAGAGCCCAAGCAATTATCAAAAGAAGCAGTTCAGCTGCAAATGAAAGACCTTGAATTTCTTAAGCAAAACAGTCTGAATCAGTGAGGCATGAAACTTGTTATCATCTCAAAGTAAATTTAGGTACTGGTGCTAGCATCAAGAGGAAGATTATCCCACATATTTTCAGTATACGAAATCACATGAATGATGCATCTTCTTCACACAATGCTGTTAACTAATTTAACTGTGCATGTTTATGCTCCCTGCTCTCTTTCTTTTGTGATCAGTTTACCTTTTCTACTTTCAATATATACAGTAGCTCCAATTTTGTATACATGAATGATCTATTACTTGCTATATACTAGAGTAAGCTGAACAAGTGTTCAAACGATTACTCGTTAAAAGATTCAAGAGCTTGAAACTTTTTCTTTTCTCTACATACTGGAACTTGGAGGGAATGTCCCCTATTCCAGTCATACTTCTGAGAACAATAATCACTGTGAAGTACCCTATAGTATGATTGATATTTACAGACAAAAACTTAACTATAAATATACCACATTCCAATATGCGCCTATGATAATTTTGGATATGGTCTTCTTGGGGGTTAATTGGTCCATAGATCACATTTCTTCCCCCCACAACCACAATTATTAAATGATCTCATAGAAAATTAAGATCGTCATTCGCTACTACACCATGAAGATGCTTAATAATAGATGAGGCATATCTAACAAAAAGGATATACATCAGAGGAATTCCCGAGCACAAATTGCCCAGAACACAAGTACAGCCACCATAGCAAGAACATTTCCATCATAATAGGATTACTCAAGAACGATAATGAAGGATTATACATAGACCTCCAAAACAAAAGGGGACATGTTTACATCACAAATGTGACGCTAGAGCCAAATGGAGAAACTGCACTACAAATGTTCTAAAGGATGATAAGTAGCCGATTTTATCAGCTTATTACAGACGGGGCTTGCCAGTTTATTTGACAGAGAAGCCTAGACCACAACCCTAAGGTACATAAGTGATTTAGCGATACTGAGGAGCCAGTTCCCCATCCTTGACAATGTAATTTTGTGCTGGGAAATCCTCGCCCTTGAAGTACCTGTCCAGCATATCCTTCGTCCCAGCAGCATACCGCAACTACAAAATTTCCCATCACAAGCTTTTCTCAGTTTTCAATTTTAATGTCGTCAAAGCAGAGAATAGGCAAAGCCTAAAGAAATTGGAGAAAACAGAGTATTTACAAACCTGTGCATCAATGGTAGTCCCTGAAATGTGGGGGGTCATAGCTTGGTTTGGCATGTAGCGCCACGGATGGTCCTTGGGAGCTGGTTGTGGGTACCAAACATCTCCACTGTATCCTAAATTTGGGGGAAAATAACAAAAAGAAGGCAGTCAATATAATGATTATTCTACCAAGGATTCCACAATTCAACAAGATTTCTAACTATTTCGAGTTTCAATGTCAGATTAAGTTCAAATTATTCCATTGAGCAACAGGAAAAACAGTTTTGTTAGGGAGAAAGAAAAGAAATAAGCAAGAAAATTTTGAAATTGAAGGAAAAGATCTATGATTTGATGTGTGAATGATGTGTCATTTAATATTAATGTTGCGGGCTCATCTCTTTGATTATGTGTTCAGGTGATATTAAAAATACCTGCAATATGACCACTATTACAAGCATCAACAACTGCTTGAGTGTCCATGATTGCTCCTCGAGCATTGTTTACAATTAGAACTCCCTTCTTCATTTTTGCAATTCTTTCCTTGTCAAACATCCCTCTGCATCACATAGTAAAAATTTTGAGGAATTTGACATATAGCGCATGGAAATAAACCATGACCTTAGTGACATGAGAAGACTGAATCAGCACGGGAAAAAACAACATCATCATCTCCGAGAATCTTAAAAATACTCCAATGGCAATCATATTTTTCTGGCAACGCAAGTGGGCGAGAACATCTATCATCCTACTGACTTCTAACATGCTGACAAAACTCCAAAGAGAAAATTAAAGGAAAAACAAAAAGAAAATATAACTCGTGGCAGTAGTTCATATAGAAAGAATATCAAATGTTTTGTGCATCAAGCCAAAAGGTGAAAGATAACTTGCCCAAGCAATAAATAGAACAGAAACCTTACTTTGTTTTCTCTGTAAGAGGCGTATTGACGACCACTATGTCACATTTTGAAAGCATCTTATCAAGATCTTCCTCAAACTTTGCCCCGATTTGATTCTCTAGCTCCGAATCCATCTTAACACGATCATGGTAAAGTAGATTACAGTTAAATGGCTTCAATCGTTGAAGTAAAAGTCTACCAATGCGTCCTGCACCCACGGTTCCAACAGTCTTGCCTTCCAAATCATAAGCTCTGTACGCAATGCCAGCAACATTCCACTCCCCATTAATAACCTGATGATGTCCAGGCAGGAAATTTCGGACAAGAATTAAGATTCGCATCAGTTCATCTTCCGCAACTGAGACAACATTGCTCCCGGTGACCTCTGCTACTGTCAACCCTGCAGCAGCAGCAGCTTTCAGATCAACATGATCTGATCCAATTCCAGCTGTCAGCAGAAGTTGTAAATTTTTCGCCTTCTTGATCCTTTCAGCCGTGACATAGGCAGGATGAAAAGGAGTAGTAATCAACACGTGGAGATCAGGAATGTGTTTCTCAAGCTCTGCAGAGAGGAAGTCATGGAACAAAAAAAAATATTATAGATGGACAGACACAAAAACTTTAGCCCAGGAGAAATTTCTTTCTTTTGACCAAAAAGTCATTTTAAATAACAGTTATAGAGCATAGTCAAGGATTCAGAAGTAAAAAAGAAAGACACAGCGGTTTGTGTATCAGACTTGCACCATTCTCATGATAAATGATATCAATCAAGCATTTATACTAAGCATTTCATCCACCAGAAAATGTTTACTATTATGTGAAAGTGAAAGCATCCATATGTGCACTCTACTAAACAAGCCTCTGCAACTTTGATAAATTCTTGTCTAAATCACAAAATTTACCCGTAGTCTTATCAAACTACAACTAAACTCTTGATGTATAGACGTTTTGCAAATGCACACAGGTATATCATGGGAAAACACTCCTTTTTTCCTTCCTGTAAGGAACTACCTCACAGTGTCCAAATTTTACATCATAATTCACTTGCAAGTTGCAACAAAGGACCAGCACTAATAAAGCAAGTATTTTCTACTTGCTTTGCTCTTTATCTAAATAAATGCTCCTGATATGACCATTCAATTCTCCTCACATGAGCCGTTTATTTAGAAATTAAGCACATATATGCATGTTTTCAATTAAAAGAACTCCTCCTTTTCAGCTGGATTCATGCTCCCAAAATCCATACAGAGAGAATTATGTAAGATTATAGTCGTACAAGAATGAAGGGCCAATGAATTATCTTTACAAATGTGTAGGCATCAATGGAGTAAAGGTTAGGATAGAACATATGAGATTACAGATGAGCAATAACTAACCACAATCTGGTCCTTCTTTGTCAGGAGTGACTATGTACTGATGACCTTTAGATTCTAACCATTCGCGTATCCCCAAGGCATTTTCGGCACAGCCCACAAAGTTGGGGTTCATTTCAGCATATTCGTTTGCTTTATAGAAAACACCAACAATCTTTTTGCTACCAGGGGAAGCCTGTAAAATAATGAAGAGAGAAAAAGTGAGTGGACAGACAAACATGAAATTTTTACGGTCATATAGCAAGCTGATATGTGTTAAACTTATATTTGACTCCTAAAAACTTGTAGATGCACCAGTTTGCAAGAGATAGACTAGGTGATGATGCTAATTCAAGCTCACCTCAAGGCAATTAAAAGCTTGAAAAGGCCTATTATGTTTGATAAATCCATGAAAGACTAAGCAAAATAAGCAACATTCGGTATACTTGCTTTGATTATTTCCTTCAAGCTAACAATTAATAGGAGTTTTCATGATCTTCACATAAATTAGGCAATTATGAGAGCCATTTTCCTGAAATATAGGGAGAACAAAATAAAGTACTCTAGTTTAATAAACAAACTAGACATGGGAAATCAGTTAATACACCTTTGTCACTTCATTAAATAAGAAATATCACTTAGATCTTATTTGTTCCCAGCCAGCTGAAATTATTGTACCGAGAAAATATTTTCCAAATCGGAACTAGTACAAACAAAGTACTCTCCCGTTTCAATTTATGTGACACTTTACGAGAGTCAATTTGACTAATCTTCAAAGATAAATTAGATTAGATCGACTCAATATTTTAGAGTTAAATTTAGATATTCAAAAACTATACGAAAAATACCAGTTCACATGAGTTTGAAAGTGGAAGAAAAAAAATGTTACATGAATTAAAACTGAATGAGTAATAATATATTGGAAAATTGATGACACGAGTGCCTAGTGCATGCACCCGCTACCATTGTCCTTGAGACCCGTGAAACGTTGTTACTCTGGACCTACTTGATATAAAAAGACCAGAAATTGCACGTGAAAATTCAAGTAAACAAGCATCACGTGTAAAGATCGGAAATAACTGTTGTGGTCTGCCGGCGTTAGATTTTCCGTTAAGGAAAAGCAACCTATCATAAAAAAATCAACACTATAGTAAACCAAATACAAAATTTATTTGGCACGTAACAGCTGTAAAAAGGACACATTAATGAAAAGCTATTAACTCTCTGCCATCCAGCAGCAGAGCAATTTCATTTGGTATGAGGGAAGGGGGGAGTACATGGCAGGCATCCAATTGGTAGAGCGTCGTTAAATTCTACCCGAATCAAAAACTGAAAAATAAAAAAATTATGCTTTTTTTGTGTGTCTGTGTGTGCTTCTTCCCCCCCCCCCCCCCCCCC